CCCCAAAACCCCAAAACCCCAAAACCCCTGTAGGTAAATGATAATTTGAAATCATTAAAGATTATTAAAAATAATAATTAAAACTTGGAATGTCTGACAATCAATCAGTTAACAGTTCATATTCTTAGAAATTGAATCATAAGACTTTAGCTAATGATCTTGATGGGGATAAAAAGAAAACAAAAATATTGGAACTAGGTAAGTATTTCAATAATTATTGATGTTCGCTTTAGATGAAACAAAAAATTCTATGAAATCTTAAGATAAATCCTAAATATCTGCAGCAGAGAGGGATTTAGATAGAAATAATTTACACTCATAACTGAAGTCTCCTCATTTTTTTTCGATGAGTGGTATTCCAAAGTTTGGAAAGAACTGGCTGGATAATTTTATACCAGATGATGAAATGCAAAATGTTTTTCTTACTAGTGAAGTAGTAAGGAATGTACTTATGCTCTAATGTGTATACTATGCTAGTGTATATTCATAGCTATTGCGATATCAACAAGGTCTAAATGCTACTGCTTAGATCAATCTTGTTGGATAATAGGTATCTAAGTCGATGGAAAATTCACAGGTTTTACCTTCAGATCGAACCTATATGTAGCAATAAATGATGTCAAGCGTTGCTACAGAAATTTAACCAATCAAGATTGGAATTATAGGGTGCGGCCAACTTGGTACAATGATTTTAACAAAGTTTCTAGAGACTCAAAGTATTTTAATTTTCCTAATAAATCTCTAAATCATAGGTTAATTTGATGGAGTTAGACTCTATGTCTCTACAAGACAGCCTCATTTACTAAGAGCATTTTAATAAGAATTTGGAGTATGGGTAGATTTTAATAATGAGAGAGTTGTTGCTGAATGCGATATAATTTTCCTCTGCATATTGCCATTTCAAGCTCAGCAGGTGCTTAAAGATGTGAGACCTATCGTAGTTTAGAGACATCTGGATGCTTAGAAATACAGAAACATGACTAAGCCTCTTTTTGTTTCATGCTTAGCAGCCACTGGAATTCCTAAACTTAAAATAATGGTCACTGAAGATACTGTATTCCTCAAAACATAGATTAATGTAGCTATGGTTAAAGAAGACCTTTTCAGATCTAGAGGGGATGTAGGGAAAAATCATCATAACACTTAGTAAGTAATTAAGTGGTCAAGCTTTATACTATAGATTGAGAACTGAGAGTTAGTTCGCACACACTCAGATGATTGAAGATTCCAAAGATGAGGTTCCAACATATAAGAAGAGTAACTAATATAATTACTAGCTAATAAAATATTTAGATGAAGTGTTTAATGATATGAGTCCTTAAATAATGAGAGATTTAGATAGCTAAAGAAAACAAAGAGATTCATACCCTGATCAATCTTTTAAAAAAATTCTCTCTCAAAAAGCTTTTTAATTTGGAGCTGAATCTGGAGTTACTGCTGAATTCATAGTTAAACAGGCATCCTTTTAATTGGCTTAGAAGCTTGATGATCTCTTTATGATGTTTGATACATTCTAGGAGGCATTATATTCAAACGATCCTAACGTAAATCCAAATAATTAAGGTGAACAAGCTGTATACGAAGAAAGCATTTTGCTGACAATTCTAGGGCAAGAATACCACAGATTCATTTCAAAGGAAACTGGAGAATGGGAGAATGAAAAAATCGTGCTAACAAACTTCTATCAAAACTATGAGGACAGAATTAGATATTTGTTTCTAGCAGAGTCATAAGCATATGTCCCTAAAAATTGATTTAATAATTTTGATTTTTCAATCTCATTCTAATTTAAGCATTTATAATCATGGGGTTTTGGGGTTTTGGGGTTTTGGGG